GATAAACAAGTTATATATATCCTAATATATTGTATAGGATGGTAGAAGATTATAGCTCTATCCGCTTATATGTAGATAAACAAGTTATATATATCCTAATATATTGTATAGGATGGTAGAAGGTTTGCTATGGCTCTATCAGCTAATGGATATAAGCAAGTGAATGTTGTGAACAGAGATACGAACCAGAGAGTTCCAATTACAAGCGGGGCTATGGTAAGTACACATTTTGCTAAAAAATATTACTCAATAAAATTTTAATGAAAGTAAAAATAGCAACAGTTTTATGTGAAAAGTTTATGTAAAATATTATGAAAATTCAACGTGAAGATCTCGGCAAAATTTGCATGCGTAAATATCGGGAAAATTTGCACAAGGATTCGTTCATGGGAGAACAGTAGAAGAATTTCCCTCGAAAATACCACGAGAATTCTGCAAGATAATAAGCAAGCATTCCATATGAAAATATTACAAGAATTTTTATGCAAAATTTTGCTGAATTTTTCGAAAAATGTTAAAAGATTTTTACTACAAAAAAGCAAAAAAAAATCACAGCCAAATGAGCCGCTTACTCATATTTTGTAAAACTTATATCTTTGCAACCTGACGGCGTAAACCTAATTTCTGTTCTAACCTCTGACTATTTTTTTAACAAAATTTATTATACAACATCAGGTTATAAAAGAAATATAATTAAATGTTTTAGGCGACAAAAATTTATATGAAAACTAGCTTTTGTTTAGAAACTAAAATTTCGCTTATAAAGTCAAACATACAAACAGAGATTACTACTTTATGTACATATAGGGTGTGACGTATATATTCTACTGTTCAGGTAGTGACGAATATATTCTACTGTTCAGGTTGTGACGAATATATTATACTGTTTAGGTTGTGACGAATATATTCCACTGTTTAGGGTGTGACGAATATATTCTACTGTTCAGGTTGTGACGAATATATTCTACTGTTTAGGTTGTGACGAATATATTCTACTGTTTAGGGTGTGACGAATATATTCTACTGTTCAGGTTGTGACGAATATATTCTACTGTTCAGGTTGTGACGAATATATTCTACTGTTCAGGTTGTGACGAATATATTCTACTGTTTAAATTGTGACGAATATATTCTACTGTTTAGGTTGTGACGAATATATTCTACTGCATAGGTTGTGGCGAATATATTCTACTGTTTAGGTTGTGACGAATATATTCTACTGCATAGGTTGTGACGAATATATTCTACTAGTCAGGTTGTGACGAATATATTCTTCTGTTTAGGTTGTGACGAATATATTCCACTGTTCAGGTTGTGACGAATATATTCTACTGTTCAGGTTGTGACGAATATATTCT